ATTTGCATCAACACATCTCACATAAAATGTGAAAAACTCAGCCACTGACTCAGATATTTTCAAATGTATAGGAGTTTCTCTTCAAGACGTACCTGATGGCATGCATCACATCTAAGATGGAATATACAGTGTCCCCCGCTTTTTGAAAGTTCACCTTATGGCACTTCCCTTTTATGAAAGAACATACATTAGTAGCTATTTTCACTAACTGGAGGAAATCTTAAGAGAACTTTTCCTTTTAGGAAAAAGGTAGAAAGCAACAATAGTGTTCAACTTTTGTTTTGCAGGGAATACTACCTCCTGCAGTGAGAGTGGCACCTCCAAGCTCTTTCCCCAGGAAATACATTCAGCATCCCAGCATCTCAGCATCAGGTGGCCATAACTTTGAATTGTGCCTGTGAGCACCTGCGCTTTATCTCAGCTTATTCTCTATGTCATTAGCAAGATGTGTCCTAAGGTAATTGCTTCTTCACTTTACTCCATTTCGGCTTACCAAACTTTTCACAGGAACACTCTACTTTCAGATAGCAAGGGAAACCTTTATTCCAATAGAAATTGGAATGGAAAAATATTCCAAATCTGCTCATTCATTAATATCACACTTCAAACAAAAGAATTATGTCATTAATGATATTACTGAAATTTTTATAATTGACCCCTTAAAACGGATGGTTCACATCTCCTTTCACCTGGTCATCTTTTCCCAAAGGATAATTTCTTTGAATAGAAATCTTGATAAGAACTCAACAAAATATGTATGCTGGGGTGAACTAAATGTTTATACTACTTCTATCTATATTTCCTTTTCAGCGATTCACCGACCTCATTAGGGGAAATCCCGAGCCATCTCAAACAAGAAGATAAACAAAAACATTTATCTTTGTTTAATCAGTTGTTTCTATAATGTCTTTGGCCAAAATAATATTTTTCTTCAGAAGAGGGCTTGGGAAAGAGTTCTAGATGGTAGACTTTTCCAGAATTCTTTCTTTTTATCCTGCTGTTTCTCCATTTAGGAAAGTAAACAAAGCCCCAAGGTAACTGGTAAGTTAAATTCCTTTTGCTATTTCACAGCATATCCCACAAGAAAACTGTTTGTAAACCACAGCTTGAGGTTCTCAGAGGAAAAGAAGAATGATCAGTGAGCTCAGTTTAGACATTGCACATTTAATTTTGCCTTTTGGGCTCTGCCTCTGGTAGCAAAGCTCAGCTTTGAATCAGAAGTACCATTATCATATTATGAGATTTTAGTAAGACACTTGACATTCACCCTGGACTTTATGTTCTTGGTGAGAGATTCAAAAAAGACAATTTTAGTGGCTGCTTCTAGACCTTTCATTGTCTATAAACCTTGTACAGTTTACATAGGCAATAAATATTTGTTTTTTTAATACCAGTAAAAATAGAAGCAGAGACTAATCAATGAGAAAAGTGTAATACAAACATAAGCAGTTAGTACTTGGAAATGCTTCCTTTTTGGTAGAGCATAATTTTTTTGTGTGTTCTTTTAAATGTTTTGTCTACTAAGAGAACAAAAATCTTATACAGGGACTAGGAGATACCATCTGGTGATTTTATACAATATTACTACCAAGAAAGCTCTATTTTCCCCAAATGTCATAGATTTAAAAACTCATTCTTTTGAGATTTCTGTGATAGTGCCCAGAAAAAAACAGATTCTTCTCTAATTTTTCAGCATTCAAGAAAATAAGCTAAAAGCTATTTTTATTAAATAGCACCCCTATAAAATGAGGACTAGAAAGAAAAACTAGCATAGATCAAGAATCATAAATTCATAAAATTGCTGAGAATCTAAAATATTTTGAGAAGTATAATAAAAAATTAACTTAATATATTTCTTCTGGAAAATACAGCTATCAAAAGGCTACAAAGGGTCATGTTACAAACACATGGATTTTGAATAAACAGAACAGATGGCAGGTTTTCATTTTATTCAATTGTTTTACAAATGGATGAATCAAACCTCGGGTAGAGTTTTTATTTTTATTTCGTTTGCACTTATAACTCTAATTACCTATAATGGAGTGCTAAGAACAGTTAACAGAATGCTTTATAGAAACACAGTAACAATGTAGGATTATTAATTCAAAATTGCCATTTCTGGGAAAAACCTAGAAATTAGTAGGTGGCAAGTAAAATATAAAACATTTGCTCAGAAACAACTGTCAGCTTTACATTTCAAAATACATGGATGGTCATGCCTATCTGTTTTTGGTAATGACTAGCACTGATGTACAGTGTTAGCTTAAAACAATAGATATTTTGTACAGGGAAGAAAGAACAGCTACAGAAGATCAGATAGGAGACTGCCAATTTTGGTTTTTAGACAAATGAATTTCACTGGGCTGTTAATAACGCGATTGGAGGTGACTGTGTTTATTTTGGGAATCTGTACATTTTATATGATTACAAAATGTGATAATGCATATGTAACTCAGACTGAAAAATACATGACGCTGTAGACCTGAGGGATATATTTTCAATTTTTTATTTAAATGTTTACTTGTCCACAGCAGTATTTTATGAAGCCCTTGAACTTATGAACCCATGCCATTCTACATGGCTGGCTTAACATGTGCAATGCTTGATTGTTTTTCTGAATGACCACTAACATTAATTTGTGTACATAATTCCCAATATTCCATTTTGAAATCCAGTATAACATTTCATTTCAATCTACTGATTTAGTCCTCTCAGGAGGACAGAGACTATTAAATTTTCAAAGCTTTTCAGTGCTATTCCTGTATCTAACAGAAATACCCAATTGAAAATCACCGCTGTGGTTTCTCCAGGGAACCTTGCTGTACCTTATTTCACAATGTCCATTTTCTGAGACAGAATGTAATCATAATTAATCTCAAGCCTATTAAATTGCTGGACTGGCCATTAGAGATGACTATTTTTATGAGAATAAATTCTAAAAATTTCTAAAGAAACAATGAGGCCCTAACAGTTATTACTGCCACACACTCGCTACTGTTTGAATTACATTGCTTCCACAAATGAATTTCAGATAGCAAATTGTTTAAGTATCAGGGATAACCTTTAATATGTATTTCAAGTTACAATCCTACTAAAATGAAGATAAAATAAAACTTACTACAATAAACACACCTGCATGCTAAGAAGCATGTTTATGAAAAACAAAATATCAAGCATAATTTAGCTCTTCTTTCAACAATTTAGAGTCATTTTCATGACCATCAGTTTTATGCTTGGCTTTAGTATCGTGCTTCTCTGTCTCCTCCCTTACCGTTATTTGGTTATTATATAACAATTTATTTTGTCAGTGAAGTGCTGAATACATGGGAATTTAAAAAAAAATTGTGTAACGGATAAACAAATTTTCAAATGAAGCTTTCAGTGCTCTTCTAATATGATGTGGGCAGAGAAGATACCCAAGTGTTAAAAAGGTGCATTCATTATGTATAATATCGAATCAAGGGTCTACTCAGTAGACAAGCTGCATGAATCTTAGACTCCTAGGTATTTCAGTGGGTCAGAACTTTCTCAATCTACTACCAGGTTCTCAGATTTGTTACAGATACTGAAGTTAACAAAAGATGAACCACTGAATAAATCAGATGTTATTATCAATGAGAAAATGACATATGGAAATAACATACTGTGCTCTTGGACAATACTATTATGTTAACAAACATATGCCTTGCCTTGAATGGTTTTTATATTTAGCTATTGGTTTAGGTAGAGAGGAAAAGTCAAATATTAACTTTAGAATCTGCTGTCTTCCCACACGTGAGGCCAGAATCAATTTTAAATAACATTATCCTGAGAGAATCATGTGGTATAAGCTGAAAATTGCAAGACTAGTGAGCATTCCTTTGTGAACTCCCTAGGTTTATTTATATATTCCCAAACAGTTTTCTGTGATTTTATTCTTACCAATATTTCCTGGGCTGAGTATATTGATACCTCGCTATATCTACATTATAAAGGACTTCTATGTATCTCTAAAAATCATTTGTTTTCATATACCTGGAGTCTATTCTTAGACCCTAATGATGTTAACTTGATTAGGTTAGTGATTAATTAGAGAGTGGTGGCCAAAAACAAACAAAAAAAGCAATGTTGTTAGGTAATTATTCTTAAAACGTATTTGGATGATAAATCAATAGTTTTTTTCATCCAGTTTGTTGAAATCCTTATACAATATAATTTAATTGGGATAATTAGATTTCTATTTATATGTTTTTTTTCTTTTCTTCTAGCTTTGGCACATTTATTCTTTATAAAGTGTTAAAGAATTGATTGACACTAAAGTACTAGAAGCTGTTCTGAATGTTAACCTAAAATGCTGATTGTTATCTTCTTAATTTTTATCATGATTTTTCCTGGAATTTCTAAACAAAATGGCAGATAATTTAGAAATAGGCATAACTATTTTAATTTTTAAATGTATCTCAGAAAAACCTATTTTATGAATAGTAATACAGACTTACTCTATGAGGACTGATGTAGTCTCTAGTTCACAGGCTATCTTGGATTTAGATGGCACCTGGCGAGAAGCTAGACAGCATGCTGCTTACAGAGCCTGAAGTTGGGGTCTGCGGCCCCCTGGACCTGAGGATGTATTCTGTGGATTTTACAGTCATTTCACCATGCAGTTTTTAAAATTTGTGCTTCATTCTGTGTATGTGTGCTGAGTAGTAGTTTTCTTATTAAGCCTTCAGTTCAACAACTAAAAACCCAAGACTGAGAAAAAAGGAACATCAATTCTCAGTATTTTAAAAAAGACTGACAATAATGAAGAGGCCTTGAGCTCCCTGATGGCTGGTTATAAGACAAACAGATAGCTCTCCCATCCCGTATCACTGCCCTAGTCGCTATCCCAACTCCAAGTCTGTTTAAGCAGAATCCCAGGAAATAGGGAGAGCCGAAATTTACTCAAGTTGCACATTACCCCAGGGAAGAAACTATGGGTTTTCACTTCCTTGCCTTAAGAGTAAAGAAATAGTGCTTACCAAATCCAAGAGAGGGCCTCAAGAAGTGCCACCACCAGAATTAGAAGCCAATGTTGGTATCTTACTCCACAGGTGCATGTTTTCTCATGCAGCATACTTGTTGATTTATGCCTGTCTATTCAGAGAAACAATCAGATTGTGGATATGAATTCAATGTGGTTTATTAAAAATTTCCTATAATTGTAGATTTAATATGCATTTTTTCTGGGCTGAGTTATTTCAATATGTTCTTTAATTTATCAAAACACAATAGCTAAAAGTAAAATTTTATTATAAATATATAATAATTTATTAGAAATTAACCCCTTAATGAGATTGAGTTATTGTAGAGTGTTAATTAATGTATGCAGAGATGAATATATCTTATATTCCTTAGCATTAGAATGCAAACAAATTCAGGATCAGTTCTATTTCTATTTTTAATTTTTACGGTTGTACGGATCAAAACATATGACTTCATAAATATTCTGACAGAAATGACAGTAGTTTTTAGTATAAATATCACTCAATTATTTGTATTCTTTTTATAAGTAAAAAATTACATAGTAATCTATCACCAAAAATTATTTTTAATAACCTATTTACTCATTGCTTAATTAAGTCCTCCCTCAATTTTGTCAAAAGCAAAGAATTTGAAAACCACTGATCTGCAAAGGGATTTGGTACCTAGTGGTCAAAATCATTTACTCTCTTTATTTCTTGGAAGTTTATTAGGAATACTAATTATATTCCTAACTGTATTATGAACTATATGAAGTTGATTTCTTTATAGCTCAAAAGTGGTTGAACACAGAAATTTCATACACTTTAACTTATCTGTTAACCATTTAATCCTCATCACAACCTTATGGATAGGTCCTGTTGATAGTCCACTTTAAAGATGAAAACTGAAGCGCAGAGAGGTTAAGTCACTTGCCTAATATCTCTTGCCTAAAGGTGAAGTCGGGATGTGAATTCAGGTCATCCTGCTCGGTCTGTTCTCTTATCTACTAAATTAAAAACTGCTCTTCAATGTACTCAGAAAGGTCTGAAAGATAAAGACATTCCAATTTCAATACCAATATATTTACCAATATAATATTTTTTATAGTATGTTTTTATCTTGCCATGCACTTTAAACAGTCTATAGAAACTCTGAGCTGCAGATTTAGCTAAATTTAGTTACCATGCAACTTAATTGGTAAAGCCAGTTCTCATTATTAAGCCAAAAGCTATTATCAAAAATATTTTCTGACAAGGAAAGTCTAACTTCATTTTTCTACTCAAATAAGCATGCTAATACTCATTTTGAAAAGCATTACCAAACCACTGAGAAATATGGTATAGAACATGTAAGATAGTGTCCTCTGAAGATTATTTAATGCAATTTTATAATTTATAAAACAAAATTATAGATCAATGTGCTATTTCTCATTACTTATTTTTAATAATGCAATGCAGTACATAGCTCAGACCATAAATCATTTACTTACCCTTGTTAAATGTGTGTACATACATATATCAAACTCTGATGCTTGGTTGGGAATAATTAAATTAAGTAATGTATGAAATCATAAAAGAACTCAATTTTACTTGCTGTTATGATCAAACTTTTCTTGTACTTAAAATAGAGAAGAGAAACTCTTCTACTGCCAAAACTAACAAGTCTGACTAGCATGTATTTTTACTTTTTGTTAATAAAAGCTAGAAAATATAGTCATTTTATAAGATGAAAGAAGAGGAGGATTAAATAATTAAGTATTTCATGATATGACTTGATAAAATAGATTTTAACTACATTGTTGAATAATACATTCCAAATCTGAAAGAAAGCATAAAAATTTTATACATGAGTTTTATCCAGTGTATCTTAAAAGTTTTGGCAGTCTCAAAAATATTCCAATTATGTTAAAAAGACCTACTTCATTAACCTATACTGCTTCAAATCTTCAAAGTTTTTCTTTTTAACTAATGTCCCAAAGAGGAGGCTTGAAAATACCTCAAAAGAACTGCTTATATTTAAATACATGAAAAAAGATGTTCTCAATTTTTAGTATTTCTTACTTGTATGTTATTTGCTTTGCTGTTAAGGAACTCCTTCAAAAGTGACGCATTCTTTGACAGTGTGAAAAGTTGGAAAAGGTGAGATCTTTAAACAACAATTATCAATACCAATCCATTTTAAATGCCAGTTTTTCACTTTTAACAGAAATATCTATAAGATAGAAAAAGATACAAATCCTAAGATAGTTTATATTTTCTTGGTTATCCATTGACACTGGTTTGTTTTCTTACCACAGTATTTTGGAGTTACCTTGTTTGATGTCTGGAGAGATTTTTGAGGTATGTGTCTTTCTTCTGTGAAGCAGAATAGAAGAGATGGGGAGAGGGAGGCGGAAGGGAGGAACCTGCCTCTTGCACAGCTTCACTCTTAGCTGCATCAGAAAGAACACATCTTTGCTCCATTATTCCTTCTAAAGTCTTGGTGTAGTGGTTTGCATACCGAGGTTTAAAAATTGCTCCAAAGAGCACTGTAAAGGCAGTGATTAGAGAAAACTGAAACTCTCTATTTGTATCCACCCAAGTCCAGACTCTTCAGTAACTGAATAAATAGATGAACACATACACAGACATGCATGTATATACCACATGTTTTAGATCATCTGATAGATCGTTTTATCATCATGCAACTGCTTTGTACTTTCTACGTAAATTTGTGTTTATGCTTTTATTAGATCAAGATACAACAAAATAAGACTATGTTTAATATTTAATTGTAGTATTTCTCAATCTAGGCCATAGATGCTTAGGGATTCACAGATATATTCTCAACAGTCTGCATGGTCTCAAGTCTGAGATATTCTGGTTAATGGACTTAAGTCATTAAGAGCTCGGGCCATAAAAGCCAGTCTCATCTGGGTCAAATTGCAGCTCTCCCACTTACTAGCTGTGGATCTTTGGGGAAGTTACCTTTCTTCTCTGAATCTCAATTATTTCATCTATAAAATGACAAATAAAATGCAATATAAAATGCTCACTTCCTCTTAGGTTGGATTAATTAAGATAAGTATTTCAGTCACTCGTAACATCAGTAAACCAAAAATGCTATTTCAGAATAATGTAGACTCATTATTCTGATGTTTGGGTTCTGGGTATAATTAAAAATAATGTACACTACTTCAGAAATAATTGTACTACTTTTGTTAGCCACCACAATCAAACTTTTTTAGTGCATTTAAAGAATGAGAAACTTTATATTGCTAAAAAATTAATCAGTCTGGTAGCTAGCATAGAATTTTTGTCTTTTAAAGAGGAAATATATTCATTTTATAAGTTGAAATCAGATGAGGATTAATGAAAATTGAAATAAGCACTTCATGATTGATTTGATAAAATGGGTTTTAACTGCCAATAATCGATTTTCATTAAATCATTAAAACATAAATCAGACTCCCTAGAATTCTAAATTGTTCTTTTTCTACTGATAGAAAATTACCTAATAGAAGAATCTTAGCAGAAAATATGGACTTTGTAGGAGAAGAAAACATCAATAATCATTAACAAAAGCATTTCAGTGTTTTGTGGGACAAAGGGAGAATACTTCAGCTCTTTGGTAAGTATTGTATACTTTTAATTTAGACCCACATTTCTGGTTGTAGAAATGCTGAAAACAATTGATGAACAGATTTTACAGCAGTATCTAGATCAAAGCCACCTTTATTTAGACCAATTTGCACACGGTTAATGATAATATGCAGCAAGGTTGAGGATGTTCAGAGGAAAGCATGAGACAAGTTTGGGGTTTTCCTCATGCCCTCTGTATTATTCAGGTTAGACTACCTATTATAACAAACTATCTCTAAATCTCAGTTGCTTAACACAATAGAGGTTTATTTTTTACTCTCCTCGCATCTAACCTAGGAAGTGGCAGACTCTGTTCTTTATAGTTTATCAGGGACATAGACTCCTGTCAGGTAGCTCCACCATTTCCTAAGGTCTTGGAGTCTTCCACAGGATTTCCTGCAGCCAGATGGCAGAGGGGTGGGAAAAAGTACCTGGAGATCTTTTCCAAGGGTTTGGGGCCCAGCTCATTCATTCCAAACCACATTAAAAAAAAAAAAAAAAAGACCACATTAACTGGCCAGAACTTGGCCCCACCTCATGAGAGCCTAGAAATGCAGTCTAGCAGTACACCAAAATAGAAGAGAACATAGGTATTGGTCCCAACTGGCTGGGCTCTCCTAATCCTCTATAGGAATTCAGGAGACTTGGTTTAAAGTCATAGATTCTTGCTGATATGGTAATGACATTTTTTTTTTATAAATGTTTCTGTTACCTTCATACACTATTTTCATTTAATTATAAATGATGTTAATTCATTGATCTCTAACTCCACGAAACTGAACAATCTTGTATACATATTGACTTATTTCTACGGTAAAGAAATTGCATCAGTTATAACAAGATCAATTGAGTTATTCTAGCATGTTAAATATGAATAATTTAAAATCTAGCTTCCTTAAAACATCCACAAAGATTAAGTACAATTTTCTGTATAACAGTCAAGTAAACAAGCATCAAAATGTCAAGTTTAATAATAAAAATATCATAAAACTAAAATCTCATAGGAGATCTTGCAAATAAATTGCTACATATATGGCTGATAAGATATAAATCTTATGACAAGATCTAACAGGAAAGGGACATCACCCAAACCTTGCTAATGTTGTATCTTAGTGTCTTTGTAGGTATTTGAGTTGTAAATATTCTTCAAACTTCTATCATTTACTAGGTATTAAATCCTAGTCCATTTCTTTGTATTTTCAAAATACTCATATTGAGAACTTATTTTCTTAAGTTTCTTATTCTTTCAATACTCTAATTACTCAAGCTTGGGGGATGTCACTTACAATTTATTTTAACTGATGTGCATTAAAGATATTGAGATTTCGATTTTTAAAAATTTCCACTGTTAACGATATGTTTGCTCCGAGAAAAACTGGGCAAATGCTTCTGGTCAAAAATGCTATTTATTTATTAGGAGATGCAGGATATCTGGAGCTGAATTTCTAGCTCTCAGCTTTCCCATAGTGAAATAAATCACAACCACATGACCCAAGCAGAAAAATGTATGCTTTACCCAAGATTTAAATAACAGGCCACAATTTTACACACATATATTCAAGCATTAAAGAGTACAATTATTATATCATGTCCATAAAACATGGACATCTTTGGAACATCTTACACTGACATCAAAGGTAAATATCAATGCAAGTGAGTCTACCCAGTAACTTATCTTTTTCTATAATCCTTTAAAATATTTTTGTACTTGCATTTTACTCTCCAATTCAAAATCTTACAATTTCTAATTTGATTCTAATCCAAGCTCTTCTACATACTATCTGTTTAGTCTTCAGCAAGACATTAATATTTCTGAGGCTTAAATTCCTTGCCTATAAAACAGGGATAATTATATCAATTGGGCAAGATTTTATGAGAGTTAGATAAGATAATAATGAGCCATAAACAATTTGTAAGCACTATGGGCAAAGCACCAACCAGTGTCTTGCTCTTCCTTCTTTCTTTAATCGGTGCTCTTGACAGTTGGGCTGGAGTTTTGACTTTTGTTCTGTGTGTGTGTGCTTTTGCCTTATTCACCCATCACTCTTTAGGTCAACTGGCAAAAAAGATACAGTCTCCAACAAACATTTATTAAGTGACTACTAGAGAACAGTACTATGCTAGATATCATGGATATGAAGGTAAGCCAGATCCTTACCTTCACAAGCTAGAGTTTCTCTGTGTAGAAAGTAAAGTGTGGTAACTGCTATAAAGTTGAAGAACATAAGCAGAGGCTCTTACTGTACTTCGAAAAGGCTTTCAAGAAGAAGCAATGTACAAGGAGAGATCTGAAGGCTGAGAGGGAATTATCCAAGTGAAAAAGAAAAGGACGGTCCAGCAAAATGAAGCGATGTGTATTAGCAGAGGAGGGTGAGAACCAGACATAAAGAAACTGAAACTCCAGGGAGCAACCTGGGAATGTGGTAAGAGACGAGGAAGGGGAAATAAAGAGAGGATAGATCATGGAGGGCCTTGTAATTTAGATCCAGGAATTTGGAGTTTATTTGGAATGCCACAGGCAAATCAAAGTATGTTCCCAATTTCTCTTCTGTCTCTGACCTACATGGTCCATTTCTTGGGTCATAATTTGGCATAAAGGCCTCTTAGAAATGTACACACTTTCTCAGCGTATAGTCATGCTTCTATTATCACTACTGCCATCACTGCTGTATCTTTTGGACTGCACATTCTCCACATTCCTTCTTACTAAACTGTAAGTTCCATGACATCAAGAATCTTGTTCTTGCTTATATTCCAGTTAGCCAGCAGAATGTCTGACTTATCCATGATGCCTAATAAATACATGAATAAATGGAAACAACCATGTTTAGTACCTACTGTAAATTAAACACTGTACTAAGTGCTTTATACACATTGTCTCACTTCAACTCCCCAGTGTTATTTCCATTTTACACAGGAGGAAACTGAGTTTCAGAATAAGAGACTAGCCTCAAATTACACAGCTAATAAGAGACAGAGCAAGGACTAAAATCAAGGACTATCTGACTCAGGAGCCTGAACTCCTAAACTCCCTACTATAACAATTTCTCCCCAGTTTTCCCTATTATATTTACTCCTTTGTTTTTGTGGGCCTGGAATTTACAAATTGTTTGTCCTATATCAAAGGCTATTGTAGAAAGTGGAAAAAAATCATAGTTATTAAATGTTAAGTTTCTTTCTCCATTTCTCCTTTTCGATAAATGTTAGCTACACATGCTCATTATCATTGTTTCCTCATGTGTTTTGATCAATTGTATTTTCAAAGTGTGGACCTTGAATTTTGTTAATCTGCCTCTACAGAATGGATAAAAGGTCCCTTCTTTCTTCTTTTTAATATGGGGGAGGTTACACATAAACTTAGAGTTCAAAAGTTATGCTCTTTTGTTTTTAATTAAATCTGTTTTAAATGCATGACAATGGTATTGTTATTCTTAAATGGTTTTTAACCTATGTCTCATCTCCAAAGAGAAATCTGAAGTGGGTTGTGTTATTTCCTTGGAATGCTTACTGACTTTATTTTTCTAACCTAAGCTGATTAAATGTATTTTTGAGAGATGAAGAATAATGCCTACAAATCCTAAGTCTCTTACATGGAGATCTTGCATAAAATCTTGATCAAATTACCAAAAGTAAAATTGTAGCAGTTCAGTTAAACAGTCACCGGATTCTGTATTTTGAATTAATTTAAATATACATTACAAAAAGTCACTTAAATGTTATTTTCTAATGATATTTGTGAAGAAACAAGTCAACTTTGGTGTTACCATAACAATCACAAAAAATCTGATTACCATTCAGTTATACATAACATAACTAAATCCCTAGGATAGATTTAATTTAGTTTTACTTATTGTACAATAAGTAAAACTAAATTAAAAGTAAGTAAAGTCTTTGCTTTGCTCTACTAATTATTTTGGCTTTCATAAACATTTAAGAATTTTGTTACATAACTTAATTACAACTAATTATAACTGTTTGGTCTTTTTAATTACCACAAATGCATTTACAACATTGAGATTCAAATTTCTTGTCTTTCTACAGTCTTATAGAGTGCTGTTACATGCAGCATTGTCAAAATCGATGAGCACTGCACATGTGGTAAGAAACAAAGACGTATAGAGGGCAAAAGTTAGGCATTTTTCTGTTATTGCTTATCTAATCCAAGAAGAATAAATATCCATGTTTAAGGAAATTGTATGTTTTTTAAGCTAAATTTTTAATTCAAATATTGATTGTGGTCTAAGTGTCATTCAAAACAGTGTTACTCAAAGACTGCAGACTTCACTGAGTTCTGCCTCCACTGTACTGGTTTATACAAGGTGATTCTTGTTTATTTTTCATGTTTACCCATCACAGAGAACTTACATGGGAAAAGCATGGTCTTGATAATATCTCAGAGGACATTTTTTGAGGAAAGGAGTGAGGAATATCTTAAAAATGACTGATCTTTTATCTAAGGTTAGTAGGTTAAGAACTTTCTTAAGCAGACTAGATGCCCTGAATCTGGAACAGCCATTCAGAGTACTCCAGTTTGGAAGACGGTTATCAATTATGACAATAAATGAATAAGGGGTATGTGGCATTATTTGGCAGTGTTAAAATTGTATTGTTTTGGGGGGGAACATAATCCACTTAACTTTTCTTGAACCTTATGAAGCCCAGAAAAGTGTTTAAGATGTTGAAGTTTTGGAGTTTTGTTCGTATTTTCGAGGAGAGAGGGTGAAATTTCCTTATAGCTCTCTAGTATGGACCTGACGAGGGAATTAGCAAAGGCCGAGAGTGATTGATGAATTAACTGCCTGTCTATACAACAGGTAATACTGAATATAATGTCTAGGAGAAAGGGCTTCCTGAACTTGAGTCAAGGTGGAACTCACTACTGAAGTTCCGTGAAATGTAAACATTGTAGATAAAAGAGACAGTGTACCCTTAGCAAACCCCCAGTCACCTCTTTGAAAGCCTTTTGTTACATATGTCAGATTCAGGAGCTGATGGTTATGGTAAGGACCAGAACAGGAGGCTCAAATCCCCCAAATTTTATAAGCATAAATCAGATAAACTTCTGTTTTTGAAATCTATCCAGGAGCTCTAAACTGCATTTAGAGTAACATCTAAATGTCTTTCCATAGTCTACAAGATCCTTCATGATCTAGCTCCTCCAATCTCTTACACGGCATCTCTCAACCTTTTAACATGCTCCAGTATCACTTATTAACTTTCTAACTCCTGTATACACCAAGCTTGTTCCAACCACAGAGACCTTGCACATGTTCCTTCTGTCCCTCTATCTGAAGTTCTCTTCCACAAATATTCACATTGGTAACACCCTCCTATAATTCAGGTCTTGGTTTAAATACCACCTCCTGAAGGAATTCATTCACTTGCCCTTTACTTTCTTTTATTTTTTATCATAGCCCATATCCTTATCTGAAATATTATTTGTTGTGTTATAGTGTGTTAGGTTATTATTTTCTATATCTGACAATCAGAAAGTAAATCTCATGAGATCTGACAAAAAGTGTCTGTCTTCATGGCCTCTATTTTCATATATGTCTGACATATAGTTGATAATTTTTTTCAGTAAAAGGCATTTTATTGGGGCAGCTTAATGTGGAGTGGCCTCTTCTGGGCTGCAGACCAGCTAGGAGTAGAATGCACATATTCAACTATATGTCAGACATAAAGTCTTTTTGCTAAAAGGACTACCTAAATACATGAGCAGACACGAAACTATTCATACCTCCAAGCAGAGTATCAGAGGAGTTCTGGAGAGGTGAAGGTCCAGGAAGTCATTCAATGTCTGGAAGGTTTAGCAGAAGGTCGTCAGGGTATGACCATGACTGGCAGGTTGAATCTGTCACAAAAATGGACAAGCCTGGAATCTAACACCAGAAGCAACACTCCAAGCCCTAGAAGGCCACTAAATTATTCCTAAGTAGCATAGGTGCTTCAGTTAATAAGCTACTCCTTAGGTTAATGTGGTTGGATATTGCATTAGCTCCTTTAGAAGAATATACTTCAGTCTTCACAGCTTCAGATTGCACGTTCCCATAACTTGGTCCATTTGGTGCTTGTAATAACTCTTTTAGGAAATCAACCTTTTATCCTATTACTGCAGATTCACTTTAATAAATTCTAATGGCTATAATATAGCACATTTACAATTTATGTTAACTCTTTGAGTTCAACAGTCAAACATCATTAAATGCACTGAGACAGGATTATTCTTTCTTAATTTATATTTAAATTCTTTAACATGAACATTTTCAGAAAAATAAGTGCATTTAATCAGGTAGTGCCCCCTAAAATTGATAGACACAATCTATGAAAATATAACTTTTGGTTATCCTTTTGGCAAAGATATAAAACACTTATTTAAAAATAGATTATGAGAAGTAAATGTAAATTTGCATTTTAATAGGAAACAAATGGAACAAAGCAGAGTCTGGATTAAAATGGAGCAAGTCAGTTGTTCTCAAGCTTTTACATTCTACAATTTTCTCTTAAGTGGCAGCACCTTTGTATACACATGTACACAAACACAGACAACATACCACTAATTTGGTCATTTATTCACTATCTTGCATTAAGAAGTGTTTGGTATGTGCAGGGACTGAGTAAGGTATGGGGACACTGAGACTAAACTAAGATTATAAAACATATTCCTGCAGGGTCCACAGTTTTTTGGGGGAGAAGGGTTGGTAAAAGTAATTACAGCAGTGTGATAAGTGCTATAACAAATATAAGAATAGGAAAAAAAAAAAGCAAGAGCGCATCTACTTAATGTGATCGTGGAATGCATCCAGGAGATGAAGGGATTTGTACTAAATCCTAAAGAGAGAGTTGGAGAGGTTGCCAAGGTGAAGAAGGCACTGCAGCCAGAAGGAAGATTTGTGCAACTCAAAGGAATAGGATTTTACAGGGAATTGCAAGAAGCCAAATATAGAAAGAGTTGGGTGTGTGCACGTAGGAAAAGGGTAGCGTACCCAAAACATAGCAGAGCTATTTTGCAATACTGTTGGCAGTTTTGTGAGGGGCTGTGATTCTTTCTTATACAAGATTTTTAATATTCTTGGTCTTTGCCCATGTTAATAGCAATCTCCAGCCATTATGACAAACCAAAAGTATCCTTACTTTTGGCAGCCAGCCTCCAAAATGGTCCCCAATCACCCAGACCCTTCCTATTCACAACCTTGTATAGTCTCCACTCACATTGTACCAGAATTAGTCTGTGTGACCAATAGCGTAAAACAGAAGTGATAAATTTGCCCTTCTGAGATGAGATTGTATTATGGAAGATTGTGGAGTTTGTTTTGGTCTCTCTTTCTCTCTCTCTCTCTCTCCTCCACATGCACGCACGCATACACACACACACACACACACACACACACACACAACCACTCAATCAATTACTCACTCTCTTATCTTTCTCTGGGGATAGCCAGCTGCCATGACCTCTGAACAGCCCCATGAACTGAAGCCTCCTGCCAACGGCCATGTGAGTAAACGTGAACCAGATTCTCCTGTCACCATTGAGGTGACCATAGTATTGACTACTTCATTAGAGGCAGAAGCACCCAGCTAACTAACTCATCCTGATTCCTGATCAACAGCAGCTCATATGAGATAATAAACATCTGTTGTTTTAAGCTCCTAAATTAGGGAATAATTTATTAGACAGCAATAGATAACAATACACTACTTATTTATAAATGCCCCCTAGGGGAGCAGAATAGATCCCAAGTGAAAATAACAGGTCTATGCTAAGGGCTTTGGGCATTGGATTTTCCACTATAGGCAGTGGGAAGCCATCGACAGGTTTTAGGCAAGACAGTGATACAACTAATTTATGTTTTAGAATGGTGCCTTAAGCCTGGAGTTTTCCATTCCATATTTTGGTCCTTCACATTTGCTTTCTCATCTACCTCTAAAAGGCCTAACAAACTATATGGCACTTGATGACTTGTTTTCCTCCTGGTGAGACTGAGCTACCAAGACATATTTCACAGAACTAGAACAAATCATAATAAAATTTATACAGAACCATCAAAGATCTAGAATTGCCAAAGCACTACTGAAGAGAAATAAAGAGGCTGGAGGAATAAATCACCCAGACTTCAGACAATACTATAGAGCTACAGTCATCAAGACAGCATGGTATTGGTACAGAAACAGACATATAGACCAACAGAACAGAAAAGAGAGCCTAGAAATGAACCCACAAACTTTTGGTCAACTCATCTTCGACAAAGGAGGCAAGAATATACAATGGAATAAAGACAGTCTCTTCAGCAAATGGTGTTGGGAAAACTGGACAGCAGCATGTAAAGCAATGAAGCTAGAACACTCCCTTACACCATACATAAAAATCAACTCAAAATGGATCAAAGACTTAAACATAAGACAAGATACAATAAACCTCCTAGAAGAAAATATAGGCAAAATATTATCTGACATACATCCCAAAAATGTTCTCCTAGAACAG